AAAACGAATAGGTCTTATAACTATCATCATTATTTTACATGTAGTTTTCATTACTTTTTGTTATTTTGATTACTTTTCTTTGACATTTGCGATATAAATATTGGAACTAAAAGTATTTTACTCTATTTCAGCAAAACCACCTCGGGTGCTTATAACGCTAAAAATTGGGCTTCGATATCTTTGGTGGACCGAGTACAGATAGCCCATCGTGTAGCTTTGTACTTAAGTAAAAACAAAGAAAAATAAACATATTTCAGCAAAATATACATAGTAAGAATTTCGTCACTCAAGAATCTAGCCGCTCGGTGGTTTAGCGGTAAGTCCGTGGGCTTATAACACTAAAAATTATGTTTCGATACCCGTGATAGGCATAACACAGATAGCCCATTGTATAACTTTGTGTTTAACAACAAACAAACAAAAGCCAAAAATGTATTATCGTTTAAATAAGGACTTCAGTGAAATTATGATACAGAATTTTTAAGTAAACAGTGTAACTTTATTTCTGTATTCAGTTGTACGTGAGTTTCGGAGAAATTGTTTGCATTATGTTTATTTTTCGTCATGAACAGTTGTTTCATTATTTTTTTTTTCATAACAGAGTTTTATTGTTATTGTCTATCTAAAAAAAATCATTATAATCGAGTAACTTAATTCCAGTCATTTTGGAATCAGATGCTCAGGAGCTCAGATCGGAAAGTTCATGGACTCCATAATGTTGCTGCTAAAACATTCGGCATTTTCAGCTGTGGGTGTATTATAGAAGTGACAGTCAGTAACGTTATTCGATTCAAAGTCAGTCATAGGCTTTGTGGTGGCGGGTGCTTCTCACTGATTGCTTTCATTCTGATTAGTAATTCAAAATCAATCACGACCAAACCTGACACAATTTCCCTTAAAAACATATATTTACCAAAAACACACTAAATAACTCTGACGGTATAACTTTAGAGGAGTACGGCATCTAAGATAAATTACTACGGCATATTTTACTGTTAGGTGTGGAGTTAAGTAACAGGACATTATACTTTAGCCAAATGTTTTTGAAGATATAAAGTAATAAATTAAATTATTACTTGAATTGTGAAAAAGGACTACAATATTGGTTCAGTAATTAATGTAGATATAATACGTTTACGCTTGATACAAAGAACACAGTATGTTAAACATTCTATGAGGTGTGTCTAGCATGACTACAATTTTAACTAGTCTTTGTTACTTAAAACATGGGGAGCAAGCAACAGGAGGCAATAAATATAAGTTAAATCTTCTGTAAAAGTTTAAATGTAAACCGATAACCTCGCGAAAGTTCTATAGAAATAAAAAGATTTAGAGCTTAGATGATCTCATCATGTATTTGTTTGTTTGTAGTTTAGCGCAAAGCTACATAATGGGCTATCTGTGTTGTGCCCATAATGGGTATCATTATCAGCATTATAAGTCCGCAGACTTAGTGCTGTGCCACTGGAGGGCTATCATTACGTATAGCAAAATATTTTAACTGCAAATACTTAAGCCACTTTTAAGACCTTGAGGTACACAAGGAATTTGGCCATAGTTTATAAGGTTTTAGCTTAATTTGAGAGTGACTCAGGTATCAAAAAGAAGCTGACAATTTAGATATATCGCGAGCGAAGACGACGTTTCCTATGGTAAATGTGTTCTCGTGTGACTGAACAGCCCAATTCGAGATTTACATTGTTTGGAACACCTCTAGCAAATAGTGCTCAGAGGAAGACGTTGTCGCAAAGAAGGTTTAGATTCTTTCTCTTTCCTTTTTTTGTCGCTTATGCTTCTCGTTTTCCCGTCGATCACTTTCGAATGTTTATGCCGCATGATGGATTAGACGACGCCAATGGGAACGATCAGACGCATCCTCCTTCCATGTATTGAGGTTGATGGATACTTTTTTGGAGGTTAGATTTCGGGTTATCCTTCCATCTTTTTGCTTGTCCATCCCAAGAACGAGTGCTGTGACGAACTTCTGAGAAGAGGACTTGAGGAGGAAGGCATACGGAGACAGTGACCGGCCCAACGAAGTTGATCTTTTATCAGCCGGACTTAAATGCCTTCGAGGACGCTGATGCTGGTTCTTCTGTCCTCCCATTTAATTCCAAGGATTCGACGGATGCATCTCTGATGGAATCCCACAAGGGATTTAATGTGTCTTATGTACACTGTCCATGTTTCGCTGCTATGTAGGAGAACAGTGATGACCACTGCATTGTAAACCATCAACTTGGTTTTCTTTCTCAGATCTTTGTTGCCTAATACGCTTTGTCTCAGTCTGTAAAAAAGCATTTCCAACATAGCTTATTCTGCTTTAAACTTTCTTGTCAATGGTGACTATGTTGTTGAAAAGTACATACAGCTTGGAATAAATATGTCTCACTGTACGCTGACAAGTGTAAAATATACAGCTCAAGATACAGGAATTCAATAATAAGCACAGAAATGGGAAAAAAACACAATAAGTTATGCACTGTGAAATTTTGAAAAGCTAGTGCAACCGGCACTGTAACAGAGATGTACTTCACAAACTGTACACACATTGACGGTTCTGCTTTCTGTTTTTTTTTTCTTGGGACATTGTACACAACGTTTCATTGTAGCAACTTTGACCACACAATGTTAAGGGGTTCATGGGTGAATGTTCTGTTGCAAACTTCTAGAGGTTTATAAGACAATAGATAGACTTATTTGCCTGCTAGAGAAATCTCGTATGAGAGCTTTGGCGATACTTCATTAAGGTCATAGGTGTAGAAGATGGAGACTTGCCTTCTGTCATCTGCTTGAACAGTTGCAATACGTGGAGTAAGTGTTGTTTGCCTTAATATCAATGAGATAAAAAAGTCACATAGTAGTCACTGATCCTAGATCATCTGTCAACCCAAACTTACGCTTTTTTGGTCCTTCAGATCAACACTTCATACTGCATGATTGTACACATGGATTGCCATTGGGAATGTACAACTATCTTCACTGAAGAACTCGAAGTTCACTTCTTTAAGGTAAAGGTTGGTGTAAGAGACAAAGTTTTCCAGTAAACAGACAAACTTGTTATCTATCGTTTTTGTGCAAGAAATTCCATTCAGCTTAACGACTGAATGTCTTCGTTTTCCATCGGCTGACCATCAGATAAACCTTTCGGCGTATATATATTATGTTTGCTCTAACTGTCCCACGTGCCTAGATGTTTCTTTGCTCAAATGTGTATTGAAGGAAGTAAAAAGAGAATGACTGAAGGAAGAAAAACAAGAAAAGGAAAGGAGAGACTGCAAATAGAGAGAATAAGAGCACAAATCGAGATTGCCAAGCTCACCCAACATAAAGAGGAAAACCCAAGAATGACAATGGGGTCAGGGCTAGCCAACCAAGTTGGGATGTGAAGAAGCTGTAAAAGTAGAATTAGCATCCCAGACACGAGAGTGATTTCGTTAGCTGAGTAATCAAGCCACATTTCTACTTCACATTTCCAGTATATAAAAACTACAGACGCATAAATCTTGTTGGTTAGGTCATACTGTTCCCCCTTGAACAAACACCTACCTAGATGAAGAAAATCATGCCAGCTGCAAGAGAGATTAGTAGCTTAACAAAAGTGCACCACAAAACTGGTTTCTGATAACATACGAATATTTTTTCATAGTGATTTGTTGTATTTACTTGCTGTCAATAATCTCCAAAAACGTTTGAACTCCAACAATCCAACTTTGTCGAAATCTCTCGGTCTTCGCGATCAATTGAAACAAAAGAAATCGCACTGTTTCCATGTATTTTTGTTTGTTTTGTGTTGTTTTTTGTACGCAAAGTAGATCGAACCGTTCATTAAATTTTAAATCTTGTCTCATGCACCTCATACCAAAAATAAGAAAGCACTATTTCCATTTGTGGGACATATGCTCCTTGTAGAGGTTAACCACAGAAAATGTCTCAATTTACAAAAACTGTAATATAAGTTAAGCTACAGCTAAATTAATAGATATTACAATAATAGCACACTTTTTTCCCAACAAAATTATGAAAATGGAAGAAATGTCTCAGAATACACCGACGTATAGGTAATATTCAAATATTTTGCTTCATATATTTCATGTTTATTTTGCAGAATTTGAAAAGAAGGAAAAATTATTACAGCTTTTAAATAATAAAAATAAATATAGATTCCATATTATTTTAGCATATTTAAATACTGTTTTCATCAAATCCAAGGTAATATTGTGAAGTGTATTTTATTAAATACTTTTTTCATTTTTGCATTAAAATATCTCCATGTCAACATACAGATAGAACAATGAATTCTCAAGTTCTGTAAAGAGAATGTAGTTGATTTCAGATTAAGATAAAATGATTACTTGTGAAACAGGATCAAAGAACGAGAATTGTTTGTTTGTTGTAGCAAGCGCACGTGTAGCCGTTGAAGGTCATCTTACCCTTCATTTTTTGTTCAGCCTAAACATGACGTCAGCGGAATAACACAATACTTCTTCAGTTTAACTATGTACATACCATCCTCAAGGTAGGGCGAAATATAAGTTATGCATTTTGTAACATAGAACATCTGTCACATATTTTTTGCACTTTAAAAAAAATCCATTTAATCTGGGGTAAAATATTGAGAAAGTTAGATGCCACGTTAGTCGCGTAATATTACAGCTCTTTGTGATGGTACACACACTACTAGTGTATAAAATTACACAACTTTTATTGTGTGGCGGAGTTACACAGTCTTCATGTAACTTGTGTAAATATTTATGGCAGATAGCTGTGCACGTGTGTAGTGTGCGCGTGATAATACAGACAGTGGTGTAATTTATACAAAATACTTTTTATTACACTGCTTCACACATAAAACTATGTTTTGATGGGTTTTTTTTGTAAGAAACACCTCGAGAGGAAAAACCAGTACGAGAAATTATATATACTGTATATATATATATATATATATATATATATATATTTCTGTCTAAAAATTCCAACTTAAATGTTAAACCACTTACTTGGTAATAATGCCGACAGATCACTCACTGTACTGCCATTTTTACAAGGCCTGATACTAGCTATTTTTGCAGCCATGGGCAAGTTTTCAACTCTCTATTCCCCTCACATTTTCCTTTCATTTATGTCTAAAAGCTATAGGACTATAAATGGAATCAGACATGTGATTATCTTTATACATGACAACTAGAGGAAATGGTACAGTAAAAGTTAACGCGTTATAAACTTTATAATTACAGAAATTGCTTTATTCTTGTTTTTATTGAGTGAAATCATACACTGCTTACATTTAGCCCCAATATTATGCAATTTCAGGCTCGATCAAAATTGTAAGCAGTCCAACCAGTCTTGTTTGTGTAATGGTTGATTTCAGATGGGTTGTTTTTTTTAAGCCAATTTGGAAAGTTTTTTTTTTTTGGAATTTCGTGAAAGGCTTCAAAAGGGCTATCTGCGCTAGCCGTCCCTAATTTATGAGCGATAGACTAGAATGAAAGCAGCTATTCATCACCACCCACCGCCAACTCTTTTAACAACGAATAGTGGAATTTGCTATAACTTTATAACGCCCCCACAGCTGGAAGGGCGAGAATGTTCGGTGTGATGGCGATTCGAACCCGCGACCTGCAGATTGCAAGTCGAGCGCCCTAATCACCAGGCCATGCCAACCATCAGTTTCGAAAAGCTTCTTCTTCTTTCGTTCGTAAAGGTGATATGCAAAATTTTCATTGCGACAAAGTTGTTGGGAAATAAAGATGCCAATCCATTTTGCACATGTATTCTTTTGCAGATGTATTCCAATACATTATACACTTTTTGAAGTAATTTTAGTCACTCTTCACAAAAACGCATACAAACTGTTACTCAGCTCTCTTACACTGACAACAAATGTTTCTCATGCGATAAGCCCTTTTAGAGTTCCATACAATGGTTCAGCTAGTCTTTTGAGTTCATTTTAAAAACAGTCAGCATCGAAATACAGGAAAACGAACAATAAACTGTTGTTCCTGAAAACTCTTCCATGGATCCAATGACTGCTTAGAACTTGAAGTAAGCTGCCCTTGAAGCTTTGCTGTGGATCAAGGATAGGTATAACACAACTTTGTGTGAAAACTGCCTTCTTTTTTTTATGAGCGTATGTGCTCTTCTTGTTAACAAAGTTCCAACGATTTCCGTTTATTCTGCAAGCTTTCGTACATTGATGAAATATTTTTTGTAATTTCATAATACCTAGAGACGAAACTTGTTAAGATCACTTGCTGGTGAGGTTGACTTCATATGCAAATTGTAATATACCATAAGATTAGCAGCATGTTTTAAGCATATTATTTTGACAGTGCTAGCTTATGCTTTACATTACAATTTTTTTTTATTAGCTCCTATGGAAATGTTGTCTTTTGCGATAATGACCAAAGCACTATATATATCTCTCCAAGGTGGTATCAAAGTGAATAAACAGTATGAAATATATTTTCCTATCCCACCCCTTCAATGGTTCACTATTTTAACATCACGTATCACTTAGTAGCTTCACAATTAACTTGAAATAATATTGGAAAAATACTTACCAACAATGATATGAAGTAGAAAAGTAGATGCATAATGTTTGAATCAAATGAAAGAATAATGCTGTTTCGGTGCACAATTCAGTATGAGATTAATAAAATATGCATTGCACAGCACAGAAAACAAACAAACATAAAAACAAATTCTTGAACTTAAGTCGCGGGTTCGAATCCCCGTCCCTTTCAGCCGTTGGGGCGTTATAATGTGATGGTCAATCCAACTATTCGTTGGTAAAAGAGTAGCCCAAGAGTTGGCAGTGGGTGGTGATGACTAGCTGCTTTCCCTCTAATCTCTCACTGCTAAATTAGGGACGGCTAGCACAGATAGACCTCGTGTAGCTTTGCGCGAAATTCAAACCAAACCAATCCAACGATCTATTTTCATAGTTTAAATCAGTAACTTACACCAAGAATATAAGCACTGAACCTGAAAATATGGTAAATATGCTATTTAACAAAAAATGCTAATGATTTTTCATTTGTTAATTTCCTTTTAATCAAAAATATAGAAATGTTTGTAATTAAGCACAAAGCTGAACAATGGACTACTTGTGCTCTGCCCACCAAGGGTATCGAAACCCGGTTTATATCAATGTACAGAAATTACACTAACTCTGTTTTCTATGAAGCCACTGAGCCAAAACCACCAAGAAATGTGTCTTGTACATTTCTTACCAAATAAGAGTGAAAGCCAAGAGATCAGTTATTTACTAATGCCAATGTCACGGGTGTATCCTTTATTACTAAACACAGACCTTATATACAGATTTAGACCACTGTCTAATCAAGCTTAAAAACGGTTCTTTCCTATTGTTACGTATCTGCTCGTTTGTTATTTTCCGGTATAAATTCTTTCCGAGGAACTTCAGCGATACAAGTCCTTTCTTGATTAAAACTAGTTTATTTTTTCTTGATACGACTTTTTAGTACACAGAATTTCCACAGTCAGTTTAAACTTAACAACCTTTACAACACACGCTATAAATCACTGTGATCCACACACTTTATTTACAGTGCCTACTGTTTGCTTGACTCAATTATCTCTATCTTCAATCTATCTATATCTCTTCAATCGCACTGGTTGTTTCTCGCCAGGCTTATATACTAAAAAAGAGGGCGCCTCGAACAAACTCGGGCATGATCCTTCTAGAAACTCCAGCGCGCAAGCTTCCAGCGTCGCGTGACTTCCGCTGTCGTAACACTATTATAGTCAAACAATCAAATATTAATAACTTTTTAGTATTACCTAATTCACATGCATTTGGGTGAGGAGATGCAAGGAGGATAACGGCGGGCTATTGTATCCAAAGGAACAACAGAAGAAGATATTCAAATTAAAGTCAGCGGCTTTAACTTTCCCACCGCAAATCTAACTAGAAGGGTTAAACAAGAGGGAGCATAATAGTCAATCTAATGGTAACAGGACCGAAAAGTGAGCGCATGAGCAGCGAATAACTTTGGTCAAAACTAAAGAAAATAGATTGTTCAGAAACTATAGAAAAACTTCAAAGCAAGAGGACTTTCACTACACCGTAATAAATTCACCACTCATACACTTAACCAGCCTTAATTTTTACCTATAATCCTGCTACCTGGTGATATTATTTCCTTTACATTAAACTCTTTTGTCTTTGTACTTATATATAAATTCTGTATCACTTATTTAGAGTTCAAATCACGTATGTTTTACCATAAATATATTACTTTATTATGATTATAAATTGTTGTTTGCCAATTTATTGTTACCCAGTGTATTTATACATAAAAATAAAAAATTCTATAGTATCCTATTAAAAAATGAATATTTAGGGATATTACAATTAAGTAAGGATAAAAACGTCTGAAGAAATTTAACACAATCGTTCGAGCAATAAAATATCAGAATAAGCGTATACGTTTCTCCAAGTCAGCTGGTGACAACTATATGTGAAAGGGACATTTTTCATTGGTTGATAAACATCCAACTGTAACACTGGTACTGTATCGTTGAGCGAGAAAAGGTCTTGAGGAGAGTAAACTGCGAGTAATTTGTTGTGATTGTATGAAATGTGTTTGTTTCATCATGGGAATATTCAAAGAACATAAGTATCTTTAGTTATGTAAAGTTTGTTCCGAATTTTAGTGGCCAAAACTAAGACTCGGAGCAAGAAATTCTTACATCGAGATCTAACTTGCAAGTTGCCTGAAATATGTGCCATTGAATACATAATTACAAACTGTTGCGTAAGTATTATTAGTATTATAACATAATATAACTTATGAGACATACTCTGCTTGTCAAATCCTATCCCGTCCTTGTTTTCGGTGAAGTTTTTAATTTTTTTCTAAATTTCTTCATTTACCATTTTACTTTCAAAGAAATGTTTAGTAAGTATTATTAAAAGTAATGGTAATATTGGTAATGGTATTACTAGTTATAGTTATATCACATTAACTATGCAACTTGTGTAGGCAAACCTATAAAGTATTTAAGTTTTTAACTTCACTTTATCTTTTAAGTTTAAGTACTGTATCATTGTTTTGCTTATGTAATAATTGCCCTGTAACATTTGGACATTTAGCAAAATGAAATGTACAAATTTATATTTAACTGTCTATTTAAATTATATATTTTAATTGAATACAACAGGAATTTCAAAAAACTACAAAAAATAAAATGAATGTATAGTTGATAATCTATGGTGTCAGTACTATTACTAATATTAGTACAAATGTTAACTTTAAATGAGACAGATAAGAAGTTTAATTTTACTTATTAATTTATGAATGAAGTAAATGGAATTTTCATTACTGTTTTTGCTCTAATCAGTTAAATGTAAAAGAGAACCAGAAACTGAATTTTTTAACAGATGTGTAGTTAGATTTAAATAAAGGTGTGTGTGTGTGTGTGTTTATAGCAAAGCCACATCAGGCTATCTGTTGTGTCCACTGAGGCCATGAGGGGAATCAGAGCCCTGATATTAGCATTGTAAATCCATAGATTTATTGCTGTCCCACTGAGGGACTAAATTAGTAAATAGTGTAAAGTGCCTACAACTGGACTTCTACAATTTTAACTGAATTGTTTTAAAATAAATTTAACATAAGATAAACACAGTAAACATCATCATAAGATAGCACTTATCTTAACAGAAACCAGTGGCATAGCAAGGGTTCTCAGCACGTGGGGGCAAAGACACTTTTGGCACCCCCCACCTCTGAAATGTTTTGATTATTTGTTTTGTGACTCATTACCCAATTAATGACAATAACATAAAGAATTAATTACTGCCTTACATGGGCCTAAAATAAAGTCACAATATAACATCTCACTATATCACAACTGTAAACCTGGAATCAATGAAGTATAGCCTACTAGGTGAACTTGCATAATTTGTAAACCATTTTGATATTTTTGTCATCCAGTATTGTTCAAAGTCACATAGCTAGAGTAATATATCAAGCATGCAGAATAAATTTCTGTTGTATCCCTAGTTTTGAAACTTATGTTTTATATGAGAAGCCAGTCACTTGTGGTGTACATGGATTATAAAACAGATTGATAAAATACTATTTAAGTTTACAAATAACAAATTTTATTAGTTTACAAAACTGTAAATATACTTAACTAGATTTTGTACAGGTAGCATTCTGCTATTCATGGTTACATTATATGAACTTTTCGTGCTTTTGCTGCTGCAAATGCATCAATTAAACGATCAAAATTTAAGGTATTAAGTATGTTTTTTTAATACTTAATATTGCCAAGCTACTAAGTCGTTCTTGAGTCATTGAGGTTCTCAAGTATGTAAGAATTAATTTAAGCTTGCTGAAGGACCTTTCACAACTAGCAATAGAAACCTCAATTGTTAACAAAATCTGCAATGCGATTCTTAAATTTGGGAAACCATCTTCACCATATGAAATTATAAATGTTAGCAAATCAGTTGCAACAACTGGTTCAGGAAAATTGGTCTGTGTTCTTTTACTTATCAACATTCTACAGTCTTTAATTTCTCTGTACAATTCTGGCCCATCAACATCACCTGGATAGCTCTTTGCTAAGTCAGAACATTTTTCTTGCAATTTTCTGTCCTCGAAATCCAGAAACAATATTTTGCACACCTAAAAGAAATCCAAATCTAGTAAGCGAGAAAATCTTCCTGTTATTTCTGTAATCAAGCAATCAATAACATCCTTCATGATGTGATAAATTTCCTGTTCAGCAGTCAATCCAGCATCAGCTGTATTTTCACCTGTCATTTGTTTACAACATATTTTTCTTCTTTCAATAGTCAATCACCATGTTTCACATTGATTCTTGCCCACTTTAAGTGCTTCTAGACAGGACTTTTCATGTGATTCCATCAGTTTCTCATTTAAAG